CCGAGGCGGGGAGGGTGCCCGCGGGAGGGCAGCCCAGGTAGCGGTGACCGCCTTCTGCTGGTGAGTTGCTGCGGTGCCCTCCCTCGGGAGAAGGGGAAACCCGCCAGCCCCCGCGTCTCGTTCGTGTCACGGAAGGTGCTGAAGCCTGGCCGTGGGCCACAGGCAGGCGTCTCTGGCCTGCGGCTGTCTGCCAGTCGCCAGCTTCTGTCCAGAGTTGCTGGTTCGCCCGATACCCCCGTTTAAGTCGAGGGCGTTTGACCCGAATCCTCGGGGTCCGTACACGAGTCACACGCTTTATGGCTCCTGAGAGCCTTTGAGTATTTGCGCCTCCACGTGTGCCAGCTGACCCCCCGTGAAGAGGCCCGTCTCCCTCCACCCGTAGGGATTTGCCGCCTTCCGTAAGTCACTTCCGGGAGAAGGCTTGAGTCAAGGGCTCGTTCAAGTTTTTCAACATACAGCACATCCCCGAACACCTTTCACCGGGTGTCTAGGTCCAGGGGTTCTGCAGTAAACACAGAAACACCCCCCACCCCACCCGGCTCGTTTCCTAGTTGAAATATTTAGGCTCGGATGATAGTAATTTCTTATTTCTTCACCTGTGTCATGTTTTTAATCTTTCCCTTTCAGCCAGTGGGAAAGGAGTGTTTGTGTAAAGCTCTGTATGTAAAACGCTGGCCGTTTTGAAGGAAGTACCGTCCACCTGGAGGGTAATTAATGAAGCATCAAACTGAGAACGTTTATTAACGTTCTGCCCCCTCGTGCCCGGAGAGGCGTAGTCAGAACGCGGCTGCTGTGCGAGGTCCCCTTGCCGCCGCCCCCCTGCTCGGACGGGAGCCCCGGGGCTCTTACGAAGACGCCTCTGGACGCAAGGCCCTGCCTTTCAGCCAGTAACCCAGCCCGTCTCTCCCCAGATGCAGTCCCTGTCCGGGCGCCCGCGATCCTGCGACGTTGGAGGTGGCAAGTGAGTGCCTTTCTTTCTGCTCGTGGCTCAGAACCTGAGAAACCTCCCTTGTGTGTGAACGGAAGGCCGGCTGCATTTTCAGAAAAGCAGCAGCTCCCTCTGCTACTCGCGTTTCCGTCGTCTGGGGTGATTCTGTCGCATAACCACAGGGACAGGGACAGGGACAGCCGCCACAGACGCGTTGAGAGGAACGCGCCGGCTGGGTAAATGCCCCGAAGCAGAACCTGGCGCCCTGTGGGACTGCTCAGCAGCGTCCCAGCGTCCTCTCTGCCTCCGGCTCTGCCTCCTGCACCCCGGCCCCCGCTCCCCCGCCCGTGAGCCGCGCTGTCCTGAGAATGACTAAGTGTCTCCCCGCTTCCAGCCTCCCTCTGGCTTCCTGCCGCCCGCACGTCACTGCGGCCTCGGGCTCTGCCTGCACCTGCAGGGCCCTCCCTTCAGCACCGACCCGCTTACACTGGGCCTTCCTGCGGCGTCAGGGTCCTGGGCCACGCTACGGGGCGTCTCACCTTTCTGCTCTGCCCCTGCTGTGCATTCTTCCTGGAACGATTTTCCTGCTAAAATCACCCCAATTCTGTAGCCTTCAAACCCAACTCGGGGGCCTCCAGGAAGCCCCTCCAGCCTGCGGGTCGTCGTCTCCACACCTTCCACTGCCGGGCTCTGTCACGACGCCTGAATTGTTATATCGCAGGTTATTTTTTTTCTGGCTGTCTGGCCCTACTTTGTCCGAGTCTCTCGAGGCCCCACTGTCAGTGGCTGGTACCTGGGACGTGCTGCACTGAGGGTGCTGTGTCGAGTGCAGTGCCCCCGATGGACTCCACTCCCTCCCGCGTCTTCCCGAAGCACAGCCCTAGCTTCTAACCGGCTCTCCCTGCTGTCCTGCTCCCTGAAACCACCCTCCACACTGTAACTGAAAGACTGTATCTTGGAAGCTGTCTGGCTGATTCAGAAATACTTTTTTGGTAGGAAAGATAATTTATCAACCAAACGGAACCATGTAAATTGCGCCGCAGTGCCTTTATGTGGTGCTTTATAATTTTAAAACAACTTCTGCATCAGTTACCTGGTCTTGGGAAATATTCCTATGAAGTAGGTGTAGGTGGCGTCCTCGGTCCAACCTAGCAGGTGAGGTGGCCCTGCAGAGAGGCTGGGCCAGGGAAGGGAGCTGTCAGGGAGGGGGAGGCGGAGCTCAGGGCCGACCTGCGTCTTCGGCACCCACTGCTTTTAGTGGGCAGGGGAGTGTCAGGCACGTCCTGCTCCCCGGAGCCTAATGATTTCAGAGAGTAATCCCCACCTTTCCTTTTTCAGCTCTTTTCCACACAACAGTCAAAACATGGGCCTCTCACCCTTTCTGGGGACCCTGAACACTGGAGGGTCGCTGCCAGACTTAACCAGCCTCCACTACTCGGCGCCCCTGCCGGCCTCCCTGGACGCCGGTGACCACCTCTTCGGCGGCATGAGCATGGGGGACAGTGTGGGCAACCTCCCTGCTGCTATGACTCACCTGGGCCTCCGAAGCTCTTCTGGTAAGCACCCCCTGCTCCCAAGGACCTCGCCGTGTCCCCAGCCAGGTGGCCTGTTCCTGCCCTGTAGCCCTTGGCCCCGCTGACATGTTGCTTTGGTGGCCCTGCCGACGTGACAAGCTCTGGAGCAGCTCCACTAAACCTCGTGAGGGACAGCTTCCTGCGAGCTCCTTCACGTCGAGTCACCCTCACGTCGTAGGAGGCTGTTTAACCTTTGGAAAACGAACGGTTTGGTCCGATTTGGTGGAAAATGACCAGTCACTTGGCATTTGTTGTCTTCCAGGTCTCCAGAGTTCCCGGAGCAACCCCTCCATCCAGGCCACACTCAACAAGGCAGCACTCTCCTCGTCCCTGAACAGCCACCCACAGACCCCTGCTGCCAGCGCCTCGGCTCTTCACCCCTCCCTGCGCCTCTTCTCCCTCAGCAACCCGTCTCTTCCCACCAGCACGCTGAGCGGCCCTTCTCGGCGCAGGCAGCCCCCCGTGAGCCCGCTCACGCTCTCTCCCGGCCCCGAGGCGCATCACGGCTTCGGCAGACAGCTCTCTTCAACCAGCCCGATGAACCCCTATCCTGCCTCGCAGGTAAAAATAACTGCGACGAAGCAGACTGGAGACCATGGGAGTCTCTTTCCCTGTCTGCGCGGCTTTGGGTCAGGTCCATGACACTAGGCGTTGTCCGTGAGGTCACCTATGTGGGAAGTCAGCGCAGAAGTGCGAGTGACTCAGATGCAGTCATGATTTTCTGAGAACAGGCTCGTGTTGGTTACCCCGGAGCAAACGCTGAGCCGTTTGCCGTCATCGCCGCCCTGGGAGTTGGGGCTGGGGGAAGGGAAGGTGTAGAGCACGCAGTCCAGATGTGTGTGCCTGAGCGCGGGGAAGCCAGGCGTGGAAAACCCGTGATTGGCTCTCAGCTGCTTTAAACCATAAGGAAAAGCCACAGGAGACATTTAGTGTCTCCCCAAAGCTTTGCTATTAGACCCCTTCCCCAGCTACGACTGCAGAGTGGAGGAACCATCCTCTTATTGCTCGTGAAGTAGTAGGTGTCGTAAGGATCGTGTCACCTCGCAAGAGCCCGAGGAAGTCTGTTTAGAAAGAGCCGATGTCCCCAGCCCCTTACAGAAGCCCAGGGTTGGAACGTCCTCTTGTGACGGCCGACTCGGTTTTTGCTCTCAGCTCAGGGGGGTTCTTACCAGAATCATCAGTGGACATAGTTTAAACCTGCTGGTCACTCCCTAGATACATCATAACATCATCTAACTGCTTCTCCGTGAGGAATGACCTCACGGGGAGTGGACAGAGCACGGGGCGGACTGGCAAGTCCAGCCGTTAGCCATTCGTGACCAGTTACCAGCTACGGGATCTTGATTATATGAGGAATCCCTGGGGGAGAAGGGGAGAGGGTATTTCGTAATTGTTTTCTTAATGGTTCTTTTTCTGTTAACTTTATTTTGCAAAATTATTTGACGGGATGTAAAAAAATACTACTTGTGCCTCGTAGGTCCATTTTAAGGAGACCGTGTGGATGGAGAGATTGTCTTTCAGATGTTTCACTTTTTTAATTTGCTTTATATTTAGTTTGTTGTTTTTTAAATTATTGTTCATGCTCATAGTTTAAAAAGTGAAAATAGTTCTGAGGGGCTTGTTCTGAATTAGAGCTGCCCCTCCCTGGCGATGGCGGCTGTGGTCCCACCACGCGAGCTCGTGCTGACTGCTCTGCAGTGTGGGTGCTGGGCCTCACCTGGTGACCTACGGGGAAGATCAGGTTTGCTCTCCTTCAGCTCCGCCCGTCGTCCCGCACGCATCTCCCCCTGCACAGTGCGGTTCGTCATGATTTTCATTAGAGGGTCCTCAGTGCGTGACGTCCTCGTAGTCGTGACAATGCAGCCGGACTTTCACCGCACAGTAGACCGTGAAACAATAGGATGGCCCTTTTCTCCCCTCCGGGAGCTAATAAATGCCTTACTTCCTTCGTTGGCCTGGCCTCCTGCGTGTGTATTATGGATTCAGTCCCGCACTCTCGGAGTTGAGCAGATCTCCTCTTAGCCCAGCTAAAATCAAACCCTAGAAAGAGTGCCTGGCATGACTTAGATGTGCCTGTGATCTGCCCGCCATCCCATCGGTCAAGGGCTGGGTACGGAATAGAAACCCGAAATGGTGGTTTCATGTTGTTTTAGTGCTTTTAGTAGAGTTTTGGGAGACAATAGAGCTAAGTACTTTTTTCATTCTTCCGTCTTTAACCAGAAGGTACGGCATAAACAAATGCCATGGTTTTTACTGAGAAAATGGAGAAGAAACTGGTCAATTGGCTGGGTTTTCTGTTTTGTTTTTTAGGACAGTAGAAATTGGCATTGAGGGGAAATGCTTGGGGGGTGAGACTTGCGATACGCGGTGCAGACACGGGAAGAGGCCTCAGCGCAGCACAGGGCGCCGCGGCGAAGTCGGGCTTTCCTCACAGTGACGCTTCCGTTTTGTAAAGTTCTTGCTGCCGAAAGCTCAGAAGCTGAGCTCACTGGCGACTTTGTCTTCCAGATGGTGTCCTCCGATGGGAGCCCGCTGTCCTTCCTGCCCGCAGAAGCTCAAGCCCAAGCGTCCCCGCCTCCCCCGTACCCCGCGCCCCAGGAGCTGCCCCAGCCTCTGCTGCAGCAGCCGCCCCCCCAGGGGCCCTCTGCTCGGCCACCAGCAGCCTCATCGCTGCAGCAGCCGGACTTCCAGCTCCTCGCAGCCCAGGTGAGTCCCAGCACATGTGGAGGGAACGCTGATTTTTCCGTGACTTCCCAACTGAATGACCCTCCTGTTCCCGAAGGGTTCATCTTTGACCAGCTTCTTCCCAGATGTGAGCTTCGACCAGCAGCCCTTGAGGCCAGGCCCAGCCTTTACGCAGCAGGTGAGTGACCGCCCCGGGCGCCGCCTCTTCTCAGAGCAGAAGCTGTTCAGTGTGTGGGGCCCCCGCAAGCAGGCAGGTTCTCTACTTCTCGGGTTTCAGATGTGCTCGGTGGCCGGAGAGCCTGGGGTCCCCCCGGCCCTGAAGTGCTGGTGCCCGCTGCCTTATTCAGTGTCAGGCCTCAGCAGAGGAACTGTTTGAGCAAGCGGTAGGGACTTGCGATGACACCCTGGTCGTAGGGCTGCAGGGACTGGAGCAGTGCACGAACGTGTTACGTTGAGAGAGAGGCGCAGGGAGGTTCTAGAAGGCAGCGTCCACTGTGGTTTGCTCTAGGAACCCATGGCGTTATTCACTCCTTGGAGCAGAGATAGGTTTTCACAACGTAACCTTTGCTGCTTCCAGGTGCCGCTGGTGCAGCAAGGTCCCCAGGAAGCACAGGACTCGTTTCATTTGAGACCAAACCTGTACTCCAACTGCGGGAATTTCCCCAACACCATCCTCACAGGTGAGTGTGGCCTCGCCTCTGCTGCTTCACTCTTCTTACTCTCCTGTGTTTTCACAGATCCCGTTGCAATTCAGTTTAAATAACATTAGGTAAAGCCAAAAAATGAGAGTCCCCAGCCCAGCCGTGCCTTTGTGAGTTGCAGGCAGTGAGCCTTTTCTGAAATGCTTAGATTTAAGTGATTGACAGCTCTTCGTGGGGAGATGCCTGCGGAAACCGGGAGTCGTGGGGCTGACTGGGAAGAGCATAGATTCCAGAGCGAGACTGTGGGCCTGGAAGTGGCGGGGACACAGCGATCACCTTCCTGATCGGGAAGATGACAGGGCAACAATTCGGGGGTGTCCTCAGCGGTGGTGTCGCCCGGGGCCCCCACTCCTCCTGATCTGCCCTGTTGCTCCCTCTTGCTGTTTCTTCCAGAAGACTCGAGCTCTGGCCTGTTCAGGGACCTCAGCAGTGCGCTGGCGGGCATGCCCGAGGCCAGCCTGAACATGGACACTCCGTTCCCACTGGAAGAGGAGCTCCAGATTGAGCCCCTGAGCCTGGACGGGCTCAGCATGCTGAGCGACTCCATGGGCCTGCTTGACCCCTCTGTTGAGGAGACGTTTCGCGCTGACCGACTGTGAACAGGAGGAACAGAACGGGAGGGCTTCTATCTGAGACGGCTCAAGTGGAACAGAACAGAATGGAGCCAGCTCCACCCCTGGGCTTTCGTTATCTCAGGCTTCTGACTTGGAGAGACCTGATTCCACGGCTCCCAGCTTTCTGCTGACGTCCCGTCTCACGCACCGTGGCTGACTGGGCCGCAGAGCTGCGCACTGCCCTTCAGGCCTGTGGCAGGTTACGCTGCTGCAGGAAGGCTGGTTTGGGCTTGCAGTGCACTGGTCATCGCCGTAACCACCACGTCTTTTTGTCGGCCATCTAGCCGGTCAGTGCGTAACAGTAGAAAATACCATGGAATGGAGGCCGCGATCCCACTGGGCAGCGCTCAGAACCACTGATCTCAGCCCGTCCTGGAGACAGGGCCCGGCTGGCGTGGGAGGCGGCTGGGCCCCGGCCTTCGGGCGTCGGCTCTGCCTCGAGTAGGTACCACAGCCCCAGGCGCCTTCTCTGGCTGTGTGGCTGGGCCCCTGCCGGCTGGTGGCAGGCGCGCTCGGGGCAGAACGAGAGCCGCAGCTCTCCGACGCCCTGGCTCTAACGTGAAGAATTTGCGCTGCGAGTTCAAGAACAGGCTTGAATTAAGCGAGCCGAGCGGCCAATTGTTCTTCCCGTTCGTTTCCCTTTCCTGCTGCTTCGCTCACCTTTTCCTTGGGACAGGAGGGAGGAGCCTATCCATTCAGTCACCAAAGAAAAAGACCCTGGTAGGGGGTGAGCCTGAGAGAGAGAGCAGCGCTTCTCGGTGGCCGAGGAAGGAAGTGGGCCTGAAGGTTTCTCGCAGACACATGACATCCTTCGGACAGGCTCTGGACAGGCGCCAGACACGTACAGGCCGCCCTGTACACAGCGCCCGGAGGGAGCGGCCAGCGGTTCGGATCAGACTCGGTCACTGAGCAGCAGCCAAGTGACGCTCTTCCTCTGTGGGACGGGGGTGTTCACGTTACTCCACTGGACCCTCCGCTCCTTGAGGGTGGGCAGGGACTGTGCCTCACTCACGTGGAACCCTCAGTACCGACAAGTGCCTGGCACTGAGCAGGTGCTGTGTAGCCGTGTGCTGAACGTGTGAACG